AACTGCACACAAGGAGTATAAACATTATGTACTACAAACAAGTGTGAATACAAATGAATAAATAAAATAAAATAAAAAATAAAGTCTCAGTATAACTGAGTACTTCATTGTTTTAGAAGGCTGAAGTCCCAAGTCATTGTTTCTTTCCGTCAGCTCTGTGAATGTGGGGCACTAAAAGAACATTTCCTTTATCCACATTATAACAGAGAGGCTACCATGATAAACTCTCAGAATCTAAATACATACAGACTAACAAGTAACTCATGAATCATTCCTTTTCTTTTTGGAACATATATAAATTAACTCTTGGGAATAAAATCATTCAAACACTGTTACAGATAATTTACCAAATCTGTATGATCCCAGGTAAAAGACAGTATTGCTGAGTATGGTGTCATATACTTGTATTTCCAGCATTCAGGAGGCTGAGGCAGGAAAATGGAAAGTCCAAGCCCAGCCTGGACAATTTAGTGACTTTGTGAGGCCCTGTTTCAAAAATAACAAGTAAAAAAAAAAAAATAAATCTAGGAATGTAGCTCAGTGTAAAGGCCCTGGATTCAATCCCATTTTATATATATATTAAAGCCAAGACTTTGACTGCTGAATGGGATTGTTGAAAGTTCATGTAACACATAAAAAACACTCCATTTATTCACTTCTTGGTAATGATACAAACCAATACAGATATATGGTACAATTCTATTAGCTAAGAGGGCTCCTATAACTATGTCATGAAAACATTGAGGTGGGTCCTCATCTATGTCCCAATGCTTACACTGTTGAGGTTTGATGAGTAGCTGAATTAAAATGTAGAACACAGAGTGCAATATTTTTTAAATGTCAAAAAAGGGGTTAGGCATATTGCTAAATGGTAGTGCTTGCTTAGCATGACAAGTGCTTTGGGTTTGATTCTGACAACTTCAAAAAAGTCACTCAATTCAATATATTTTTATCCCTATTCTTTAGGTGACTAAGAACTGAGCCATGGAGATATGGTTAAACCAATCATCAGCAGATGAATTTATCCTTGTGGGCATTTTTTCCCACAGCCTAACTGATCTTGTTCTTTTCTCTGTGGTCATGATAATCTTCACAGTGGCCCTATGTGGGAACATTCTCCTCATCTTCCTCATCTACATTGATCCACAACTTCATACTCCCATGTACTTCTTCCTCAGTCAGCTCTCCCTCATGGACCTAATGTTGCTCTGTACCAATGTTCCAAAGATGGCATTCAACTTCCTATCTGGAATGAAGTCCATCTCCTTTGTAGGTTGTGGTATACAAATTGGCCTTTTTGTCTGTCTTGTGGGGTCTGAGGGGCTCTTGCTTGGACTTATGGCTTATGACCGTTACGTAGCCATTAGCCATCCACTTCACTATCCCATCCTAATGAATCAGAAGGTCTGCCTCTGGATTGTTGTGAGCTCCTGGGCTTTTGGGATACTAGATGGCTTGATTCAGATGGTGGTAGTAATGAACTTCCCTTATTGTGACTTGAGGGAGGTGAACCACTTTTTCTGTGAGATGCTATCCTTGTTGAAACTGGCCTGTGTAGATACATCCATTTTTGAGACAGTGATATTTGTTTGCTGTGTTTTCATGCTACTCTTTCCCTTCTCCATCATTGTGGCCTCTTATGGTCGAATTCTGGGGACTGTGCTTCGTATGCACTCTGCTCAGGCCCAAAAGAAGGCTCTGACCACATGCTCTTCTCACCTGACAGCTGTCTGCTTCTTCTACGGTGCAGCCATGTTCATCTACCTGAGACCAAGATACTACCGGGTCCCTAGCCAGGACAAAGTGGTCTCTATCTTCTACACAGTTCTTACTCCTATGCTCAATCCTCTCATTTATAGCTTGAGGAACAGGGAGGTGTTGGGTGCACTGAGGAAGGGGCTGAACCACTGCAGGATCAGCAACAAGCACTAAACACCAGGGCAATTGGGGCCTGGTCTCAAATTCCTGGGTTCAAGTAATCTTCCTGCTTCAGCCTCCAGAATAACTGAGATAAGCTACATCCCCTGGGCAGTAAGAGGGGAGCATAAGCATTGGGTAATTCACTCTTTTTAGGACTGAGGTTTATCAATAGTAAGAATCATGACACCTGCGGGCTGGGGAAATTCTTTAAAACCCTAAACCAATCTCTCTCTCTCTCTCTCTCTCTCTCTCTCTCTCTCTCTCTCTCAAAAACAAGCTTTTTTCTTCAATCTGCCTCAGACTATCTTGTAAAATACATTAAAGAAGAATGGAGGAATTTTTAAACTTAAGTACTGTGCAGAAATAAGAGACTGGGATTATTAACACTTATTATGTAAAATCAGAATTACTTTCGTTAATAGATGGGTCTCTGAGCAGAACTTGCTGATTCTTCTTACTAATGTAGACCATTTATTCAGAGTGTATCATGTTCAGGCACTGTATAAAGCTATGTGCTTTATTTATTTTTACAGATATTACTTACCTTTTATTTATATCATGTCTCACGCTAATATAGACTCTCACTAGTGTCTTGATGAAAAGATTCCAGATAGAATAAAATCAGCCTACATAATTCTCTTTGATGAGTTCCTACTCTTATGCCATGAATCTGGAAACTTTATAAAGACTACTTTAAGCCAGGCATAGTGATGCATACCTGCAATCCTAGCACACTGAGGCTGAGGTAGAAGGACTGCAAATTTAAACCCAGTCTGGGCAGCTTAGCAAGACCCTAGCTCAAAATAAAAATCAAAAAATGGCTGGAATGTACCTAGGTGCAGAGGCCTTGGGTTCAATTCTTAGTAGAGGGGGAAAAAGACTACTTTCAAGAATAGAAATGAAAAGTCCTTTAGATTCATAAGGAACAGGATAAAGGCTTATTTATTTGTATATTCAGTGTCTGGCACACTGGAAATACACATGAGAGCTGTGTATACATACAATACTCTAGGAAAGTTTGCCATTCTGTATCACTTGGGTTTTTGTTTGTTGGTTGGTTTATGTTTTTTCTTTTCTCCAGATCTGGCCTAGCTATGTTGTCCAGGCTGGCCTCAAACTCCTGGGTTCAAGTGATCTTCCTGCCTCAGGGTCGAGAATAGCTGAGATAAGGTGTATCTTCTCAGGTATTAAGACTGGAACATAAAACTAGGCATGGTAGTACATGCCTCTAGTCCCAACACTCTGGGAAGCTGAGACAGGAGGATTAAAAGTTCTAGCCCAGTCTTGGCAACTTACTGACTTAATGAGATCCTGCCTCAAAATTTAAAAGTCAAAAATGTCTGAGGATATAGTTCAGTGTGAAAGCTCCAGGTTAATCTCTAGTACCAAAAGAAAAAAAAAGACTGAAATATAGAACAGAATTTAATCTTTTATTTGAAAAGTTATCTTCAAATATTTGTTTTCAAACCATTTATATGGTTTGTATGTAACCCATTAAGCTTAGAAACAGTCTTTCATGCACAATTCCAATAAGATTACCTTTTCTTAGATAAAAAATTATCTCCATTGAAAGCATAGAGAAAAGGAGGAGCAGAGTTGGGTCCTGGGAATTAGGCTAAGCCACAGGAAGGTGTTCACTTGGTTTCAGGATTTGAGATTTACCATGGAGGGTTGTTGAGCTGTAGCTAAGTGGAAGTGTGCAAGCTTAACATGCATGGGGTCCTAGGTTCAACCTCCAGCACTGCAAGAAAGAAAGAAAGAAAGAAAGAAAGAAAGAAAGAAAGAAAGAAAGAAAGAGAGAGAGTCTTACAATAGGTGATGACTTTAGATAGTTAACTTAGTTTAATTTGCACAACAGACACTCTGTAGTGAATACCATTACTAACTTACTCACTACTGGGACTGAGGAAATCAAGACTTGAGTGTAAGCACCCAACAAACAAATGCTTACTTTCCTTTGCCTTAATTAGTCCAAAGATAGCACATCCATGTTTGATTTTATTTGGGGTTTTTTGGCATGGACTTTGTGTCTTTAACTCATTTCTTGAACAAAGGCCAGAGTTTATTGTTTTGGCAATACTAGGGATCAAACCTAGGACCTGGTGCATGCCAGAAAAGTGCTCTACCACTGAATTGCACCCCCAGCCCAAAGCCAAGGTTTCAATTGGCAAATACCTGTGAAGCACCTGCTACTGCTCAGAAATGTAGTGCATTCTTGAGCACAAAAGAGATCTCCCTATGTCCAGGCCCATAATTTAGTTGCCTAACCAATGATCCTTATGAAATAAGATTTGTGTTAATTTCATAGCTAGTGTTAATATATAGAATTAAAACCTTAGGAATTTGCTAAAGTAAGGAAAGAAGAGAGAAATATAATATGTATCAATGCATAGGAAAATAGAAGAAATAAGAATCTTGCCAAGATGTACAGAAGTTTGTAATACTTGTTTCAGTTTTGTATATGCTTGAAATTTTCTATAATAAGCAGTTTAAATTCTGACAGGCCGTGCTAGCTTCGGTAGCACATGTACTAAATTCTGACAGGCCACTATTATTTGCCAACTACTTTATTATATATTTTTCTAGCTCAGCTCACTGGGGGATTTTTGTACATACATGTGATAAATCTCTATTGTAATCATGTCAACCCAGGTCAAATTATAATGAATATTTTTTAAATTGCTTTATACCTGCAGTTGCAAAGACTGTATATGTATTTGTGTAATTTAATAAAGCTAAAGTGAAATCGTCATAAGAATAAGGATTGTATCTGTTAAAGTCACACAGTATCCCGTAACCTGGCCTTCCAGGAAAAATATCTGCTGTAGTGGAGTTCAGAGAATCAGATTAACCTTTCCCACTCAGAAAAACAAATAGCCACAGGAGGGCAGCAGAGAGCCAAGCGCACAACCTGTCCAGACAGTAAGGTTTGGGTAAGATCTGGTTTGGTGAAGGGAGGGGAAGGGGAAAGGAAAAGAGGGAAAGGAAAAACTATAAGAAAAGAAAAAAAAATGGAAATGAAATCTATGTAAATAGGGAAGGGTGGATGGGACGAAGGGCGCACATGTAATGGGGAAAAAAATAAGAACCAAGATATATCATGTACAGGTACAAACACCGAATGATAAATGTAAATGAATTGTTGTAGGGAACAGGGGAAGGGGACGTCACCAGAACCTCTGCAGTAAGTCCTAGTCTCCTGCGAGCCACGGCAGCACACGGCGAATTACAGGAAAGGTAGACAAATGAGACTGAGAAGAAGCTGAGTTTTGGTTCTGATCAGTGCTGCTCTGGGCGGCAAAGACAAGAAGCCCTAGCTTGCAGCACCTTTTATTTAGTACATCCGAAGAAACAAATGTAACAAATGAATAATGTAGATGTCAGTATCACATTGGGATGAACAAGGTGTAACAAAAGACTGGGTGGGGGCGGCGGAAATCTAAGAACAATGAGGAACTCTGCAGATGAAGATTTAGTTCCTCCCAGGAACTACACAGATGAAGATTTGGTTCCTCCCAGGGCGTCTCCCGCAGGTGTGGTCTTGTCCTGGAGCATTATAGCATCATGGGATCATTGAGATCTCCCTTGTGACCTGAGGCCAAAATGGAATTATGTCTTGGAGTGTTATAGCTGGCCTGTAGGCAGGAGAACTAGGCCTACTCAAATGATTTTTCCCTAGAATTATGTAGCATTGCTCCTAACAAATTGTATACCTAAAACGTACCAATAAAAGAACTAAAAAAAAAAAAAAAGATCTGGTTTGGGTTTAAGGGTAATATTACACACAGAAATAGAGTTTTTGTTAAATATATATTTTATCTAATATGAGAGATCAAAAGTATAAAAATTTAAAGACCAAAATAAAAAGACATGTTAACAAACTGAGAGGCAGACACTGGCAAGACAGAAAAAGAATCGGGAGGGAGAAGAGGGGTGTGGGGTAGGGGCAATAAAAATAAGCATGATGTTGGGCCGGGGATTTAGCTCAGTGGTTTCGCTGCCTGCTGCGCAAGCTCAAGGATCCGAGTTCGATCTCCGACACCAAAACCAAAAAAAAAACAAAAATAAACATGATGTGATATGTATCTGTATCAGTCCTCCAAGCTGAACATAATTGTTATGCATCACAAACATATACCAATAAGCATTTCTTTAAAATAAAACGTATTTATGGAAATCCATACGTCTGCAACTGGGCGGGGGGGGGTGCGGGATGATGAGGGGATGAAAACAATCAAAGTGTGTTATATTGAATATACGAATCTGCCAAAATGAAACCCGTTAATCTGTATAATCAATATGCACTAATTAAAAAAATAGATGTGAAACAAAAAGAAAGGAAGTTTGCGTTTGATTTTTAAACCTGATATTAAAATATGACACTTATCTCTGAAATATGCAGGGGCAATTTTCATAGAGATTAGAGCTTGACCTTGAAAAATAGATGCTGTATTAGGTGGAAAAGTGAGGAGGGCAGCCTAAACTAGTCTACCTTTCTTATCCGCTACCCTTGGCAAGTTCCAGAATATCTCTGTGGCCAATGTCCTTATCTGTAGAGCTGGGTTACTAGGAGTTCCAGGGATGAGTGTGTAGCTCAGTGTTGGTGCATTCACCAGGTATGCATGGGCACTGTAAGGAACAGCAGTAGTAGTACCCACTTTAGAGGGTTGACATGAGAATAAAAGCAAAGCCTACGAATGTAAGCATAGGTCCAGCACACAGAAACTCTATGTTGTAGTTGTATTTTGTTTTGTTTTGTTTGCTTGTTTGTTTGTTTTGATGCTGAGGACTGAGCTCAGGGCTCTGTGCATACTAAGTATGTGCTCTGTCACTGACTATGTCCCCAGTCCTATCTATTTTTATAGATACATATGCTCCTTAACTTATGATGGGCTTATGTCTAATAACCCATTGTAAACTGAAAATATACTAATTAAAATGTATTTACAGCTAGGTTGTTGGAGCACACCTATAATTCTAGTCCTATGGAAGGCTGAGGCAGGAGGATGACAAGTTTGAGACAATATTGGGCAACTTAAGGACTTAGCAAGATCCTGTCTCAACATAAAAAAATAAAAAAGAACTGGGGATGTAACTCAGTGAGAAGGCCCTGTATTCAATCCCCATTACCACATAAGAAAGAAAATATGTTTAATATACTTAACCTATAG